AAAAGTATTGTCTTATTTAATCTCGACAATTCGTTCAATTCTCTATTACTCAATAGAAAGTAATCTACGACTTTCTCAAAATTTCTACATGTAAATGCCTCATTCTTTTCGAGGTTAAATAAATTAATCTTTGTATTCAATTGTATGTCGTACGAAAACGTTGTATTGATTTCAAGAACATCTGATTTATCGATTTTCGGTGCTAAACTACTCTTTTTCCACAAAATATTGTGTTCTACTTCATTACGAAAAATGTTATTTAAAGTCTTATTCTGTTTGCATACATTTTTTAAACGTGAATATGACGTTAAAATGTATTCCATAGAACTTATATTAAAACTATATGATAAATATTTAGTTGAATCTTGCAAATTTACTATTTCTGAGGGTATGAATGCAATTCCTGATTGTGGATTATCAGATTTAATTTCGAGTGTGGTTATGTAACCAGCAAACAAGGTTACAACAAATAGTCCAAAGATCATTTTCTGTAAAAGAAAATTAATCCTAAAATTTACATTTGATCGGTGAGCATTTTATAATCAAAAGTAGTAGCAAAATAAAAAGAATTATAGGACTATATGTAAATAAACTCCATACTGATTTAATACAATTATAAATCTTGACAAAGAAATGTCCAGCACTACTAAATATTTCTTCAATTCTAACCCACAATGACATACTTGTTCTTGTTTCAAATGATTTTGTGTATTGTTTTTCAATTTCCATCGATTCATCATGTAATGCCCCTAATTTAATCATGTATTTATCAATGATACCAATGTCATTGGTCCAATTCCTAATTTTTGTGTCAAATACCGTAAAATTAGTCATTATAAATATGTAATTGATTTCAGCTATCGTATAATCTCTACGATATTCTAAAAAATCTACTGCTCTAAATGTGTCACAATTCTCATTGCAAAAAACCTCCATACTTGATGTCAAATTATGAATTGATGTATCGTTTTCACATTCAATTCTCAATGATAATGGATGTATAATGTAACAATAAGATGAATAAGGTTCACTATATAGTTCACAAGGTAATTCACTATATAGTTCTTATTTCGCATTACCCTATACTGGCAATCATCTGAAATATGATTTTCTTTAATGATTGAATGGATACATTGATCGTCATGTTCCATCATTTCAATCGCCAAAGTGTTACAAAATGTCCAATTATGGAGTCTAGAGCATTGCTTTAAGCTCTCTTCTGTTAAAGTTACAATATTTGTGCCATTTTTATAATATTGACTTGAGTTTAGATTCAAAATCATCGTCTCATCTCCATTTTTGAAAGGTACTGGTATAATCTCTGTTAAATTAAATTTTCTCTCTGATAATATTGGTAAATGAATTCTAACTTGTATATGTGTGTCATTCTTTTCACTTTTCATTTTTGAAATGTGAATCAAATCTAATATTTCCACTTCTGGTAATGTCAAATTTCCTGTCAAATTTTTACTGATTTTAGATACATAATCGCTAAGTTGATCTATACCAACTACGTTCAAAAATGCTGTTTTTAAATGATCATTCATCAATCCCTCGAAATTAGCTGTATCTTTCAAATTACTTGATAATAATACCGATGCTACATCAAGCATATACATATATTCATCGTATTTCTCTCTTTTAACCCTTCTCAATTCATTCTCTTTTCTCGTTTCATTCAACCAAACTTTCTGTGCTTCTATCTCTTTCCGACTAAATTCTACTTGCTTTAACCCGCATCCATCTTTTAAAATCTCAATCAAAAAAAACCCTGTGTATCAATTTGATACAGTGTTTTGAAAGCCATGAATTTCGATGTAAAAATAATATTTTACACATAATTTCGGTTTGTTGATAAACTTTATTTATTTTTGAATGGAAAATGACAAAAAATGAAAATAATGAAAAAAACAATCAGACACATCGGTCGCAAACAATGAAGTGGTGATCAGGACATACGTAGTTTTTACACTTATTACAACGATTACTGTATAAATTATGGTTGGTTTTTGAGGTGCAAATGTAACAACGTCCTCTTTTGTTGTTTTTGGGGAGTTTTTCAAGGATTCCACTGCTTGACGGCTCATCAGGAATGCCTCGGATTTGCTTCACAAGAGCATTTGCGTTGTTTGCCTTCGGTAGCGTTTTGCGCGAATCAATGTATGGAAGAACCAATTGTTCACCAACCTCGATGAGAAAAAGACGACGACGATATTTTTTTTCTTTTTCTTTCCATTGTGGAAACAGTTCCGTGAATATAACAAAAGCATTGAATCCCGACACATCGATCATGTTGGCAAAAATGGCCATTGGCCATCGGTTTACCTTGCGTTTACAACGATATGTACCGACTCTCTCATCCAAAACATCAACACCGCCTTTGGTTGCATTGTAATAATGAATGATTTCTGGCTTTTTATCATCATCATGCTGTCGAACCTCTTTTTTAGTGTGCAAGGTGCTGAGAAGAACAACGTATTTGTTTTTTTTTGGCACATACGATACCATTGTAAGGCGCAGTGACGGCTCGAACACAAATTCAGAATAAAAGTTGGGTTTGCGCTTCATATCCAAAAGACATGGTGGTATTTCCTTACGATTTTTGCGTACGGTACCGACAATCGTCATTTTTCGTTGCTTGAGCTCCTTCGCCAAATCATATGATGTGAATAAACTATCACATGTCACATTACAGCCAGACAAACCTTCCGTTAGATCCAAAACAACACGTTGGCCTTGATTCCGTTCTCTCTCTTGATTTACACCACGACCAGTATAAATTTGCATGTTGTATGCATAATATGTGTACGAATCACATAAAGCCCACACTTTTATTCCATACTTATATGGCTTCGACGGAATGTACTGTGTGAATGGCGATTTGCCACGATATGGAATCAACTGCTCATCAACAGTCACAGAATCTCCCAACGAATACAGAGTTTTCAGGTGTTTATTCCATTTTTCGAACACCTCACGAATGGCAGCCAGCTTGTCTCTTTGGCGACGTACATTACGTGTATTCTTATCGTCAAATCTGATACACGAGTTCAATAAACGAAAATAATTCAGTGACATGGTCGCTCGAAAAATTGGCCGACCGCGCTTATCATCCCACAATTCAGTTACACATTCGCCTTTCGAACGATACACACCGGCTAAAATCAGCAAACCAAAATACGCATACAGCGTTTTCAAATCAATCATTTGCCATTTTTCTCCATATTTTCGAATGCCATACAGATTCGTCATATCCAAAACGATTTTCTCGATCGGTTTCAACAACAATAGAAACGCAGAAAATGGATCAACGACACGGGCACTGGCGAAAGCGGTTGGCCCTGGTAGTGACAAAAACAAACACATATGAGTTCATACGTAACCAAAAAAGTGAGAAAATAAATGAAAACCTTTGCGAATGGAACCAGGTATCACATTTCGTCGAATATTTTGTGGCAAATCCTCTTTCGAATATTGTATTCGGCCATCCTTCGATTTGAGCCATGTATCCGGCCTGAGAATAGAGCGTTCTCGTGTTTCTTGGTCAATAACAACACTGTCATCGCTATCACTGTCGTATTCATAGGAAAAATCCACTTCTTCATCTGGAACATATTCCTCGTCATCACTGGTTCCGTATAGTTCACTTTCTTCATCAGACGGATCATCAATATTGGCTTCGCTAATATCGACCACATTCCAACTACTCTTACGGCGTCTAGCCATTATCAAAACTTTTTTTATTTTCCCAAAACGAAATAAAACGAAATAATCAAAATTGTTGCGTCTGAAAAGTATAAACAACAACAACGACGTCAAAACAGAAACTGACAGAAACTACGCGTCAAATATACATGTACACATACATTGGCGGACGCGTTCACACATATGTGTATCGCGCTCACACAAAGCCACAGGCACCGACAAACCAATACACACGCACGTCACACAAAAACCACTCACAAATATGCGCAGTAGTCTAACACATTATTTCCACAGCAAACATCATATGAAATACACACGTACGTGTGTGCAGAGTCACAAAACATACACCAATACCACTATGTATCAAAATGATACAGAGGAGTGTTTGTGTGTCGATTTTTGTACCGCTCATATGTGATACACATGAGCGTGTGTAGTACCAGCATGTTGTTCACTTCACATATTTAGGAAGGTAGACAAAAATTCAAATCAAAACATTTATTCGTTTTCTCACAATAAAAATTTGAAGTTCAAATTTGTATCAAATTGATACAAAAGATGGATGCGGGTTAAAAAAGCATCTCTTCCAGCTTTCTCCTGATCAGCAAATTGCTTCATTTCCATAATACTATCATATGCAAAATAACCAAATCCTACTGGAATCATCAATTGAGCTGTCTTAGTTGCTATGCTCGATATCGTTCTCTTGCTTCTTTTCTTCTTTGCTACTTTCTTGATTAAATTTACGTTATTATTTACTGTATCTAAACTATTTCTGTAAGATTGTACGAAAAATTGGCAATCTTTCTCTTCATCTAATTCATTACAAATATTTGATAATTCTTCCGTTACATTTTGTAAGAGCAACGCGTTTTCAAAATAAGTACGCAAATCTATATCGAATCTTAAAGTACTTTCATACTCGAAAAATGATAACATTCCCGCGTCTTTAAGTATGAAACTTCGCTCCGTTTGCCTGGTTGATGAGAATAATCCAAGCAAAATTAACAAAATTGCATCGAAAGAAGTCATTTTGACTGTAAAAAATGAAAATAATTATTGTCAAATTGGAAAAATTTATCTCATAACTGATTATGTGACGTTCTTAGCATGAAAAAAATCTACAAAAGCAACTATCGCGCCTAGCTCCCGAAAATGATAGAAATTCTGCATTATGCAATTCCATTGATAATTCGCAATAATCTATTCTCTCAATCAATTTTTCCTTAAAATCATCAAATAAATCATTGTCAATGTCTGCTCTCATTCTGTCTGTTATCATATCTGATCTTATTTGTAAAACTTTCAAAAATTCATCCCAAATATTCAATTTTTTTAATGGTAATGGATCCATTAAATATTTTCTGCATGCTTTATATGCATTCCAATAATGTGTAAAAGGTTATAATGGATTTTTCTTCGCGTACTGATCTAAATAATATCGACCTCTCTTATTATCTGCAATACCACGCATTCTACACATGCAAAGATCTGCAATATCTTTACAGTTATAGCAGCGCATCTGCAAACAAAACAGATTTACTATAAGTTCGTGTTTCAAATATGGGTGCAAGTACAATTATTGCAATCTACTGTTTATCTACTGATATATCTAAAAAAAATTATGTAGCCTATTTACGTGATATGCATTTTTTCAGTTAATATGGAGTGAAAATTTTCTATTGTTTAGTCTGATTTGCATTCTGTATGCATAAGCATCTTCCCATCTTTGATCTCAAATATTCATTAAATCCGTCACGATAATGTTCCATCGTAATCGTGATTTCTGCTAGAATTTCTTTTACCATTTTTATTACTTCATCTGCATTATCATCATTTAGTTCGAACTTCAATGCTTGATACTGATGAGGTAAGCAGAATTGTAATGTTGACATTTCAAAGGTTTTCCAATTTAATGGATCTTTCAACCATTTAAAATCAAATGTACATTCGATACACTTTTTATAGGTTTCCCAATAATTGGAAAATCTATCCCAACCGTTATGGATCAAATATCTATCTAGAAAATACTGTCCCTGACTCGAGGTCATAACTTTATTTATAACCAATTCTCTTATAGTTTCATTGAAAATTTCTATTTCAAACTGATTTCAACCCAACAATTGCTCATTTTATCTTAATATTTCATTCATTCATTCATTCATTTCAATTCACTTCATACCATTGACATTACTTCCCAAAACAAGGTTATCTCATTAAATTTATACCTCTATCAGTATATCCTCCATAAATTCTTAATAATTCCAATATCATATTAAATTTCTATTCAAAACAATCAGAATATCATCCATTCCTTATTCTGTGCTAAATCATTCATTTTTACTCTTTTTAAAATCATATGCCATTTTCAATTCTTGGAAATAAATACGCATTTAACTCTCAAAACGGTATTGCTCAGTTCTCTATCTAATGCTTCTTCGTAACATGCTATACAGATGTTAGTTATTACTTTTACATGAAAGCAAAAACCCTTGAGAATTCGTGTAAAGCGGATAACACAAAAAATGTCCGCAACAAATGCATTTGTTGTAAGTGTTGCAACAGGTACCATACTTTAATCATTCACATTACCATTTTTCTCTATTCTTTATGTAAGTGAACGCAACTGTTGTGACAATAAATGGCTTGTCTAGACATGTATGTATGACACATTCGCTTAACACAAAAAAGAAGACGCCACACTTTTTGTCGCAGCGCATAACATTATCGCATTAGCCCTTGTCCTTATTCGTTTACGCATATGTCTTACTATGTATCGGCTTAATGCGACCCACCATTTTTTCTTTAGCAGGTATGTACAACATATATGTTATTGAAATGCAACCGCCTCCCCTGCAGGTATATGCATGTATTAGTGACCAAATTGTTTCTAATGCCTGTTTCTTAAGCAGGTGATTAGGTTCTATTTATCTATGTGTGTAAATATGATCCATTTGCGCACTCAAGACAAACTTCTGAAAACAAAACCAATTATTTTGGCATCAGTTTTCAGTCAACCTTCGATCAGTAAACATCGTTTGCTATTCAGAAAATATTTTGCAAGAATAAATTTCTTTGGTCATTTTCCCCAAATTGAAATCATCATTGTTATTAAAATTGTTGTTTTCTGTGTATAATTAGTGAATTTCCCATTAAAAATTCATCTGAACTCAATGATTCAAGCATTTTTCTATGCTTTATGAATCCACATCGATTTTTCCATCTCTTTACATTTGTCAAAACAACAAAAATTCAAAAATTATTACGTTACTACGCCATTGAATAATTTTGAGCGCTAGAACGGAAATAAATGTCTTAAAAGTGAAAAATTATAAACCTTTATCAGAAAAGTTGATTTTATATGTGTTTAAATTAATTTCATCGATCGCCCTTTTGTGTTTGTTACCACAATAAAAATTTGAAAATTATTGAGACCATTAAACAATTTTGAACACTATAGCAAAAATAATCGTTCTAAAAGTGAAAAAGTAGAGTCTACGACCCAATCTATATATAAAAAAAAAGTACCCGATTGAAAAAACTTGAAAATCAGTGACTGATAAAAAATAATAACTACAAAAGTGAAAAAGCTATTTAATTACGACGATCAATGATTATTTACAAAAACACTTAGCGAAAATCATCGAATCTTCGACACCAAAAATTCCCGTGTTATATTGTGAAAACTCGTGAAATATTCATCAAATCGTGTTATACTATACTTATTCATCAAAAGGTAAGTTCTTTCTCCCCTTTTTTTACAGAAAATTTGAAAACAAGTGATTATACAAAACTTTCCGTTCATCTAAATTCACATCGTTTTCATTTTTGTCCATTCATCCTTCAAATTTTGTTTACATTTAACTCATTTTTTTTTCACTTTAACCCGTGTAAATTTCGAAAAATTTTGCGATCTTAAGAACATTCTGTTTCTCCCTATCCTTGAATTCGCTTTTCCTTTTTGTTATTTCACGTGTGAAATCAACATAAAATGTTCATTACATATTCCGAAAATAATTCAGTGTACTAAAGAGAAATCTTTCCCCTTGTTTCCCAGAAAACTCAAAAATCGCGTGTTTTTCAACGATTCTCTTCATACCCATCATCATCGCTTCGAATTCATCTGATCTCCATACATAGTTAAGAAAAAATACGCACGATATAAATTATTTACTACTTCCTTTTTTTTGATTCAGCTTAACAGTTCTTTTTTGATAAGCTTGAAAATTAAGCACGGTACGTTTTGTTTTTACACCCGGTACTAGAGAGTATTTGTTGAATTTTACAAAATTCATCCCGGCACGTAGAAATATACGCCCGGTACGAAAGAGTATTTGTTGAATTTTTTTTTGAATTTTACGCCCGGCACGGTTCAAATTTACGCCCGGTACGAAACCATATCTTTGATTTTTTGAATTTTACGCCCGGTACGTTTCAATTTTACGCCCGGTACTATACGTTTATATTGATTGTTTGAAAAATCATCCCGGTACGTTTTAAAATTACGCCCGGTACCAGACTGCATTTTTAGTTTACCGAATTTTACGCCCGGTACGCTTCGAATTTACGCCCGGTACGAAACCATTTTTCTGATTCTTCGAATTTTACGCCCGGCACGTTTCAAATTTACGCCCGGTATGAAACCATATTTTTGATTAAACAATTTAAAGTTTCATTGAGTCATTCTCCTTCAATTCATCATTATCATGCTTCGACAATCAGAAATTCCAAATTCTTTTGAAATTCCCATCTATAAACCACACCTTCATGAAATGAAAGATTTTAAGGTTTTTCTCGAGGCACGAGAAGAAGAATGTAAGGAACAATGTACCTTCAAAATTGTTCCCCCCGATAGTTTCTTCAAGCATCCCTCCAAAAAAATAAAGAGTAATGCTTATTTGACTCAGGTCTCAAAAATGACTTCGGAAAAAATTATGTTGAAAAACAACAATTATGTATATGAATTGGAGTATGATAATTCAGCTGGATTATATAGTGAATTCTATAATCCCGAAAGTGTTCCCGAAAAACAAGTCGTACGAACACAAGCTGATATGGAAAATTTAGTCTGGGAATGGCTAGATAAAA